AGTGAGTGAGTGAGTGAATGGGTGAGTGAGTGAGTGAGTGAATGGGTGAGTGAGTGAGTCAGTGAGTGAGTGAGTGAGTGAGTGAATGGGTGAGTCAGTGAGTGAGTCAGTGAGTCAGTGAGTGAGTGAGTGAGTGAGTGGAGTCAGTGAATGGGTGAGTGAGTGAGTGAGTGAGTGAGTGAATGGAGTGAGTGAGTCAGTGAGTCAGTGAGTCAGTGAGTGAATGAGTGAGTCAGTCAGTGAGTCAGTGAGTGAGTCGGTGAGTCAGTGAGTGAGTGAGTGAGTGAGTGAGTCAGTCAGTCAGTCCAACCTGCCATTCTAGTTGCCATGGCGTTGCCTCTGCCTTCTCCTGGCACATCAGAGTAGAACTGTGCTCCGCAGGCTTTTCAGAAGTCGATCTCCAGGTCGTTTGTCCACGGTGTCGATGGGAGGATGCCAACCTTTCAGTTAACAGCCGAGTGTGTTATCCATTTGCCCCAACTAGGGTCTCCCACCAGTCATTCAGTACCCCCTTTCTGGTCACCGCTCCCAGGCCAGCTGAGACCCATCCTGTTGCATGAAGTCAGGCCCAAAGATGACGAGGTCCTGCACCTTCTCTGCGTTCTCCCAGGAAGGGAAAGAGAAATGGGTGGGTGGTCCTGGAGCTGCCAGCACAGTGAAGCCACAAGAGGAGCCCTGGCCTCATAGTATTGGACTCCGGTCACTACCCAACACCTTACAGAGGCCAATGCTAAAGAAAACTGGCATGGCGACAGTCAGGTGACCTGTACGTGTGCTTACCTGGGCTGTTTGATGCAGGTTTGGAAATTCACGAAAATTGCTTTTGGCCAAATCAGTGAAAGCCTGGCAGACGATCTCTGGCCAAAGAAAGAATGAAATCAAGCAGGAGGAAAATGGGATAAAGGCCCAGGCAGGATGCATCCTGCTACATGGGCTCCCATCCCAGGGCTCAGTTCTCAAATGGAGACCAAGAGACAAGTGGTGGGAGCGAGACATAATCCCAGGGAGAGTGAAGCCCACAATCACCACCCAGCCCTGAGTATATCATAGAGCTTCCTGCCCTTTGCAGGGTCACCCCCAGCCCTTTCCTCGCACAATAACTTTGAGGGTTGTGGACGAAACAGATAAAGCTCACTGGACCCTCTTCTTCCTACCCTGGAACCGGTGGGAAGCTCGTCACTGAGCACTGTTTCCTCATGCGTTTAGAGGCTATGTGGAAGCTAATATAACACTCCAGCTCAGAGCATCCCAGCCTTCCAGGGACATTCAGATCACCGGGAGGTCCTAATTCAGCAGGTCAGAGGCTGTATGCCTGACCAGCTCCCAGGCGAGGTGGGTGCTACTGGTCTCTGGACCCCATTGAGTAGCCATCCCACACAGCAGGGAGGAGGTCAACATCTGCAAGCAGTATTTGCTCACTGAAATGTTCCATCTTCCCTCAAGGCCCCGAGCTCTAGGAACATCTGGGGGTTGACACTTGAAGGATTCTCACCAATGACATTCTGGAGTGTGTCCAGGGCTGGTTCTACCAGCTGTTGAATGTACTGCTGCACAATGGTCTCAAACGTCTTATAGTTGACAAATCCCAGAAGCTCTTTGCCCCGGTACTGCTTGTCATATTTTGAGACTTCTTCATGAATTATGTTTCTAACTACAACATAAAACAGAACACCACAGTGAATTCTAATAATCCCACAGACTTTGAAAGAAATGGTTTCTTGTTCTGCCATTGAGTTGACCCCATGTGTGTCGGAGTAGAGCTGTGACCCACGGGGTTTTCAGTGGTTATATTTTTTGGAAGTGGATCGTCAGGCCTTTCTTTTGAGGTGGCTCTGGGTGAACTTCACCTGCTAACCTTTCAGTCAGCAGCTGGGCTCATCAACCATTGCAGCACTCTGTTCGAAGACAGACATTCTTAAAAAGTCATCCTGGCCCATTGTGCCCTTTGGCAATGTCTCCAAAGGGAGTTCCTTTACTAGTGATAAAAAGTCACACTTTGAAAATGCTGTCGTTACGTGCCATCAGCTGGGTTCTGGCTCACATCCACCCTCTGCACAGCAGAACAGAACCCGGCCTGTCCTCTGCCGAGAGGGAGGGACGGGACAGACAAGAAGACGCTCTGTGGTTTAAGACCAGGAAAGGTGTGCATCAGGGCTGTCTCCCCTCACCATACTTATTCGGTCTACCCGCTGAGAATATAATCCCCAAATCTGGATTATATGAAGAAGCACGCAGCCTCCGGATTGGAGGAAGGCTTATTAACAACCTGTGATATGCAAATGACACAACCTTGCTTGCTGAAAGTGAGGAGGACTTGAAGCACTTTGAGAAGTTCAAAGACCACAGTTTTAAGTATGGAAACTGTACTCAATGTAAGGGGGAAAATTCTCACAAACTGGATCGATAGGTAACAGGATAAATGAAGCAAAGATGAAAGTTATCAAGGATTTCATTTTCCTTGGGTCCACAATCAACCAGCACCCGTGGAAACAGCAGTCAAGAAATCAATGGATGAGTTACATTGGATCAATCTGCTGAATGGGCCTCTGGCAAATGTTTGTTTTTGCTTCTGGCAAAGATGTCCCTTTGAAGACTAAGGTGCAGCTAACCCAAGCCATGTGTTTTCAATAGTCTAATATACAGGCTTCGTCTTGTAATCACAGGTCCACTGTGAGAAGGAAAGCAGCCAAGGGCATCTAACAACAACAACAAGATATATGAGAAAACTGCACAGTGAATACGATGGCCTTTGAATTAGGATGCTGGCAGGGAAGATTGACCGTGACAGTGAGATGGACAAACAAGTCTGTTGGTGTGATTCGTCTCCTGTACTTGGGACGTATCATCAGGAGGTCCTGTTTTTGGAGAAGGACAAGCAAAGGGTCCGTGAACAAAGGAAAGACCCCTTGGCTACATGGCAGCTCTTCGAATCAGTAGTGGCTGGAAAACTGCTTTTGAGCTTTGCCTGCTGGAAAACCTGTGGCTTGCATGGACCCCAGGGTCACTGGGGGGCATACTGGTACTTGCTTAGTAAGTAAGATTACTGAGTAATCTCATCCTCTCACTGCCATCGAGTGGATTCCGACTCATAGCGACCCTATAGGATGGGGTAGAACTGACCCTGTGGATTTCCCAGACTGTCACTCTTTGGGGGGCTAGAAAGCCTTGTCTTGCTCCTGTGGAGTGGCTGGTGGTTTCTAACTGCGGCAGATAACCACTACCCACCAGGGCTGTGGTAGTTACATAATTTGTTGTCAATTTGAGACTTCTGTATGAAGGGGTGGAGTTCACCTGTCAATCAGGTCCCAGCTTGATGGCCTCATTTGGAGGCACTAAGGAGATAAATAACTCATCAGAGTTGGGACACACGCTCAGTTCCTGGGAGACATTCTTGTTGACAAGTCACATAGAGACAGGCTGATGGCAGCCAAAGCCTCAGAGCTGGAGGAACCATGTGGAGACCCCTGTCAGCACTGAGATGCTCACAACACCACTGGATCCTCAAGACTTCCCACCCACTGGCCTGCAATTTTCCTGCATTCGGCATCATTGCATGTGTTTTGTGAGTCTGAAGAGGACTTTATAGATTGATATCAGACATATGGGCTAATATCGGACTTATAGACTTGATCTGAACTGGGCTGGGATGTTTACTTAATGTACAATTACTCTTTATATAAAGCTTTCTTATACACATATGAGTATCTATGAATTTGTTTCTCTAGTCAACCCAGACTAACACAAGGGCTCCTTTAGTTAATTCAAACTGAACAATTTCCCATGGATTTCACCACACCATTGGTTTTGTGTAGAGCGGGTAAGGGCAGAGCTCCAGGGTGGAGGGTCTCTGTGAGTGGAGGCAGTTGGGGCTCTCAGGGGGGCCACAGGCTATACGTGGCTCACTGCACACATTCTATATGAGCCAGAAGTTGCTTCCAGTGTGGGTATGTAAGACTTGCCAGTTAGGGGAGCCTTGCTTGACTGACCTTTTTGCGTGTTGGCTGAAAGGACGAGTTCCCAGTTTCTAAACTCCTTTCTGATTTTGTTGTATAACCGCGACTCATTGTCTTTGACAACTTCTTCTCCTTCCAGTAGCTTATCAATGCTTTGATTGAATTCCTTAATTTTCTGAAAATGGGGTAAAAGCATCATCAATTTGTTTTGCATGCAGGGTAAGTTCGAATCCTGGGTCAGCCTTGGCACTGTTAGCAGGCAGAGCCTGCAAGGAGCCCAACCACCCCATGGGGCCCACTGAGGGTCTTCCCTCCTCCATCCACAGGGTAGGGTTGAGCGGGGCCCACTTGAGGACCTGCCAGGCCACCAGGGAAGAACTCAGCCATCTAACAGGGTTTGGTGACGGAGAAGCCAGTAACTGTGTCCAAGTTTCATTCGGGAAATCCGTACCTCAATCAGAAAGAACATCTTATCCGTTTCCATGCTCGGGATGTCCGTGCCATACTGCCGCAGCTCTTCTGTCGCCCCCTGGTGGAGATCCTTGATTTGCTTCTCTAATAGTGGGAGAGATTTCTGGGACAAAGGAAAGCAAACATTCAGGAAAAGGCCCAACAGATGCCCTAGGAATATGGGTGGGAGCCTATTTCAAACCATTTAAGGGGATCTCAAAGTTCCATTCTTGTATGAAGCTTGTTCAGAGAGAGACCTGTTTAAAGACCCAAAGAAGGCTTTCCATGTAGCAGGGTATGTCTGGAAATTATGTAATGCAAAGAGGATGAACCAGTTCTTTCGTCAACTTCAACTTCGGAGACACCAGGTGTGTCAGAGTAGAGCTGTGCTCAATGCTGATTTTTCTTTGGGGGCGGGGGTGGGGCTGGGGGATTACGTCACCAGGTCTTTCTTCCCACGCCCCTTGGGGTGGACTGGGACATCTGACTTTTCTGTCAGCAGCTGAATGCCACAATGACGTGTTATCTACACAGAGTCCCCGACTTAGGACAGGTTCCATGCTAACGACTCCACTGTAAATCGGTTCTGGTGTAAATCAGAGACCTTCTTTCCCCCTTCAGTTTTCATTACAAAACATCGTAGTATTTTGAACAGTAAATCACAACATCGGTTATCTACAAGTGAACATCTGAGAAAGAGAACATCAGCAAATTACCGGATGCCACGCTGTGTGTAGTGTGCATTAACACAAATGAACTCACTGCCATCGAGTCAATGCCGACTCACAGGGACGCTATAAGGCAGGGTAGAACTGCCCTGTGGGTGTCTGAGACTCTAACTCTTGACTTTCTCCTGTGGAACAGCTGGTGGTTTTGAACTGCTGACCTTGTGGCTAGCAGCCCAATGGGCAACCAGTACCCCCAACCAAACCACGCCATCAAGGTGAGCCCTAAGCAGCCCAAACGTGAAGCGACGAAAATAGGGCTGGAGAACCTTTTTTTCTGCCGAGGGCCATTGGACATTCATAACATCACTCAAGGGACAGACTGGTCAAACATCTGTTTCACTTACTGCTAATGTGACAGCTGAGTCGAGTGACAGTAGTTGGTATTGCTGTATTGCGGGCAGACATTTCCCACCCCTGTACTAAAGTGTTGGTGGTGGTTGATAGCAATAATGGATATATAACCTCCCCACCCCTGCCCCAGGGGGACGAATAACAGAAACGTGAGTGAAGGGATATAGTGGATGGTGTAATATATGAATATATGTATATATTCATATATATATAAAATATATATATATATATATATATATATAATTTATCAAGGATTCATGAGGGTGGGAGGGAAGGGGAAGGAGGGGAAAAAGAGGAGCTGATACCAAGGGCACAAGTAGAAAGATAATGTTTTGAAAATGACGATGGCAACATATGTACAAGCTTGGTTGATATAATTGATTCATGGATTGTTATATCTGTAAGAGCCCCCAATAAAATACATTTTTAAAAAATTTAAATAAGTAAAGTGTTGGTGGTTGAGACCCAACTAGAGGTGGTTTAGAAGAAAGCCCTGGCGATCTGTTTCCCAGCACCCACAGACTGAAGACCCCATGGAGCACAGGTTGATGCTGCACACAGAAGGTGGCCAGCTGTCGGAATCGACTCAACAACACGGGTCGTACAAACACTGGTGTCGAGTCGATGCTGGCTTATCGCGGCCCTATATGACAGGGTAGAACTGCCCCCTGTGGGATTCTGAGGCTGTAAGTCTTAAAGGGAGTAGAAAGCACCGTTGTTCTCCTGTGGAGTGCCTGGTGGTTCCAAACTGCTGACCTGGCAGTTAACAGCCTAACAGGTAAGTACTACAGCACCAAGGCTCCCACCAGAGGTAGGAGGAAGGTATATTTTTTTCAGAGCCCTCTTCTGCAAAATGAGGGGTTTGACTAGAATCGGTGCTGCTTCAGGAAGTTTCTAGGGATCACCCAGCTACTAAATCAGAAGCTCTGGGGGGCAGGAGGAGGCCTGGGATCTGGGTCTGAGAAGCATCCCAGGTGATTCTAGTGTGCATGGGAGTTTGAGGCCCACTGGCTCCTTCCAACAGGCTGATCTGTAAGCACATGCTTCCTGCCCTAACAGGCATCATTGCTCTGCTCTCACAGTGCAAACAAAACCCTCGCAAGCCGCACTCCCTTGTTTTCTAAGGTTCATGCAAGCGCCGACATACTGGGTTGCCCAGTAAGCATTAAGTCTCAGTTCTCTGATATCAAACAGCATCATGCGAGATTTAGGTATGGTGGCCCATTTTTGAAAAGCAATAAACCCAGAACACTCTATTTCTTGCCATTCTGAGCCTAGGAGAATGTTTTGTTTTGCTTGTTTCTTTGGACCCTGCTAAGTGTCACCTACTGGAACAAGGATGATGTGCTAGCTCAGAGGTGCTTCCTCTTCACACAGCTCAATGGCCACTAGCCGTCCCGCCCTCCCTGTCTTGCTTCGCCTGCACTGAGAGGCCTAGATCGACTTCCATGCCCACACAGGGCAGGGAGTTGTTGCTTTCCCACTTCAGGCGTTCGAGGGATGGCCTGTGGCCCTGAGGAAGGCGGCGTTTAGAGTTTGGTTCTTTGTGTGCTTGCTAGGTTGGCGCAGTGGGTGTCTTCGCCAACATGGACCCCAGCGAATGCCTTGGTAACTGCAATTCTGACAACACGCCGCCCAACCCAATGGCTCACATTGATGTGTGCGATGAGTTCACTGGTCAGTTTTTCAGCCAGATGGGGCACCGTGGCCTTTCCTTCATCCAGCAGAACTCTGAAATAGGGTAGGAGAGAGCATACATGAGTTCAGAGCCATGCTGTCCCACTGTGTTCCAGTGCTGGGCTTTATAAGTGAATGTGTATGCAGAGAAAACTGGAAGGCAGCTACTTGGCCAACTGGCTGGAAGAGATCCATATTTGTACCCATTCCAAAGAAAGGCGACCCAACTGAAAGTGTCAATTATAGAACAATATCATTAATATCACATGCAAATACAATTTTGCTGAAGATCAGTCAACAGTGCATTCACAGGGAGCTGCCAGAGTTCAGGCTGGACTCAGAAGAGGATTCAGAATGAGGGCTATCGTTGCTGATGTCAGATGGATCTTGGCTGAAAGCAGAAAGGACTAGAAAGATGTTTACTTGTATATCATTGACTATGCAAAGGAATTCTACTGTGTGGATCATAACAAACCATGGATAACCTGGAGAAGGATGGGAATTCCAGAACACTTCATTGTGCTCATGAGGAACTTGTACTTGGATCAAAAGGCAATGATGCAAACTGTACAAGGGAAAACTGCATGGTTTAAAATCAGGAATGATGTGCAGCAGGATTGTATCCTCTCATCATATGTATTCAATCTATATGCTGAGCAATATAGATTGCTCATCAGAGAAACTGGACTGTATGAAGAAGAGTGTGGCATCAGGATTGGAGGAAGGCTTATTAACAACCTGCCATGTGCAGATGACACAACTTGTTTGCTGAAAGTGTGGAACAATAAGTAACATCATGATAAATGGAAAAAAGACAGAAGTTGTCAAGGGTTCTGCTTGGATCCTCAATCATGCTCACTGAAACTGCAGTCAAGAGCTCAAACAATGCACTGCATTAGGTAAATCTGCTGTACAAGACCTTTGTAAAATGTTGAAAAGCAAGGATGTTATTTTGAGGACTAAGGTGTGCCTGACCCACGCCATGGTATTTTCAATTGCCTCATGAGTATGTGAAAGTTGGACATTGAATAAAGAAGACTGTGGTAGCTACATAATCTGTTGTCAACTTGAGACTATTAAGAGTGAAGGGGTGGATTTAGCCTGTCAGTCAGGTCACAGCTTGATGATGGAGTCAATAGCTCCCTGGAGGTGGGTCTGTCTGTCTGTCTGTCTGTCTGTCTCTCTCTCTCTCTCTCCCCCTATGACACATTCCTGTTGACAAGCCACATGGACCTATGCTGATAAATCCAGAGCCCTGGAGCTGGAGGAGCCATGTGGAGACCCATGCCAGCACGGATGCTTCTACCACCACTGGATCCACAAGATTTTCCACTCACTGGCCTGTGATCTTCCTGCATTCGGCATCATTGCATGTGTTACGTGAGTCTGAAGAGGATTTTATAAATTGGTATCAGACATATGGGCTAATATCAGATTTACCAACTTAAACTGGACTGGGCTGAGATGTTTTCTTAATATACAATTATTCTTTATATAAAGCTCTTTCTTACACACATATATGAGTGTCTATAAATTTGTTTCTCTAGTCTACCCAGACTAACACAAAGACCTAAGAAAAACTGACACATTTGAACTATGGTGTTGGCAAAGAGTATTGACAATATCATGGACTGCCAAAAGAACAAACAAATCTGTCTCGGAAGACGTATGCTGGGCTGGGATGCCGAGACTTCGTCTCATGACCTTTGGCCATGTTGTCAGAAGAGACCAGTCTCTGGAGAGGGACACGATGCTTGGTAAAGTGGAGGGGCAGTGACAAAAGGAAGACCCTCAATGAAAGGGATTGTCCCAATGGCTGTAACAATGGGATCAAGCATGAGAACAATTCTAAGGATGGCACAGGACTGACAGCGTTTCATCCTTTTGTACCGAGTGTCACAATGAGTCGGAACTAACCAGATAGAACCTAACAACAACGACAACAGGTGAGGTCAGTTTTGTTTTGCTCCCCCCCCCACCACATCAGAAACTGGTTATTATGTAAGAAACCCAGCTGCTGATTCCTGGCAGCAGAGGGGTTGTGACCTACCTGCTTCATTTCTACCCTGGGCTGGTTCCCCCTCCTCAGGCAATCTGGTGTTCCCCCCCGCGCCTGAAAAGTCACATGTTTCAACCTCAGTAGCTGGATTACAGAGGCTTGAGATCATGCATGGCACAGCTGCTCAGTGCTAAGCCAGCCCACACTCAGGGAGCCCACTGCTACATATAGAAACAGGTATTTTACTCATTATAAGCAATGTTTCTATCATACTTAAGAAGTGCCAAGTACCACTCTTAGCCCTGTACACATGGTTAATGATTTGATCATCTGTTAAGCATTGACTTGTGTCCTTTAAAGTAATATGTTGGTGTCCTGACCACGGTACCTATGAACATGAGTTTATTTGGACAGAAGTCATTGAAGATGCTATTCGTTAACATGAGATCATACTGGAGCAGGTGGGTCCTCATCCAATCTGTGTGGGGCACTTATAAAAGAGAGGATATGCAGACACACAGGATGAGGACAGTCATTGTGAAGATGCACCCACAAGCCAAGAACACCTGGGGCAATCAGAAGCCAAGAGAGACAATAAAGAATCTTCCTGTAGACTCTTCAAAGAGGGCGATGGTCCTGTTGATGCCCTTAATTCCGACTACTGGTCTCAAGAACCATGAGGCAATGCTTGTAGCTTTCCATTGTTTAAAACCACCCACTTGGTGGCATTTTGTCACCAAAGCCCTAGTAAACTCGTACTCAGATTTTAATGTCAACTCTCTGCGGCTCTGCAGTCGTCATGTAGAGCAAAGATGTCACTTAGAGGCCAAGGTTGCACCTACCTATGCAGTGGTGTTTTCAATTACCTCATCTTATGTGACAGCTAGACCATGAACAAAGAAGACTGGAGAAGAATAAATGCTTTGATTTATGGAGTTGGTGGAGAACAATATGTATACCATTGTGTTAGTCTGGATAGACTAGAGAAATGAATTCAAGGGCATTCATGTGTGTCTAAGAAAGAGCTTTACATACAAGAGCAATTGAATATTGAGAAAACATCCCATGCCAGTCCAGATCAAGTGCATACATCCGATAACAGCCCATATGTTCTATACCAATCGATGAAGTGTTCTTCAGACTCATGAAACACGTGCAATGATGCTGAATGCAGGGAGAACACAGGCCAGTGAGTCAGAAGTCTGTGGATCTCAGTGCTGGCAGAGGTCTCCACGTGGCTTCTCCAGGTCCCAGGGTATGGGCTCTATCAGCATAGTGCCATGTGTCTTGTCAGTGGTGGGGCTCTCAGGGAGTGAGTCGAGAAAGAGAGAGTGCCTTCCGCCTCCAAGGAGAAAAATACAGGAATACCCAGAATCCTCAGGGGAAAGCCATACCCACACAGAGGCCTCCTTGGTTGTATCCTGATACACAGACTCGACGCCACCCCTTCACTCTTAATCCTCTCAAATCCCAAGTTGACATCAGATTATGTAGCTACCACAACCATAGACTTCCAGAAGAATGAAGCAATCTTTGTGGGAAGAAGTGTAACCAGAAGGCTCCTTAGATGGAATAATAGCAAGACTGCGTCTCATGTACTTTGGACATATGTCAGGTGAGACCAGTCTCTGGAGACGGACGCAGTGCTTGGCAAAAGTGGAGGGGCGGTGAAAAAGAGGAAGGCCTTCAGTGGGGTAGATGATTTAATAGAGGGGCTACCACAGTGGGCTCAAACATAGGACGACCGTGAGGACGGCACAGGACCTGGGAGTGTTTGGTTCTGCCGGACAGAGGTTCTCTCTGAGTCGAATGGACTAGACAGCACCTAACAACAACTGTGAGAGGAGACACAGGGGTCTTGAGTTGGACAGTCTGTTTCTGGTCTTGCTTCTACTCACTGTTTGTTCTACTTATTGTCCTTATATGGAAAATTCAGAAAAGCTTAGCTGGATTATATAGTCCTTACGATTTTGTAGCCCTCAAAAGAGAAAACAAGTGAAAATATTTTGGGAAACCCAAGTGTTGCCTACAAAGGGAGTGATGCCATACAATCTTTAGTCATCATCATTAAAGCCCAATTGTTTCACTTTCTTTAAATAAGCGAGCACATTTCATTAGAACAATTCAAGAAAAAGAAGGATCATACTACATCTACATGATACCATTTTGGGTAGAGAAGCTGGTTATAATCGTGGTCAGTTTTAGTGGGTTAAGGGAAGCACCCAGGAGTCCATCTCGAACTCCTCACTACAGTCTCACCTGAAATTTGGATGCCCTTGAAAGAAGTTCATCTCTCTCTTGGTCGCCTCTGCCAAGCTCAGCCTGTTGGTGATCTCCTGCTGGCCCCGACACTTGACAATCATGTAGCCTTTCTTGAGGTAGTACGTATGGTTTCGCACCACATCCAGGATACATTTCTCAGCACCCTTGTCCACCAGATCTGGTTTGGTGAGGATCCCTGTGAGACGGACGGGGAGTGAAGGGCGGCGCAAGGTCAGTCTTCCCTTCCATCTAAATCAGTGGTTCTCACCCTTCCTAATGCCGTGACCCTCTAATACAGTTCCTCATGTAAAATTATTTTCGTTGCTACTTCATAACTAATTTTGCTACTGTTATGAAGTATAATGTAAATATATGATATGCAAGATGTATTTTCATGGTTACAAATTGAACATAATTAAAGCATAGTGATTAATCACAAAAAATATGTAATTATATATTGTGAAATATTTATTTCTAATTAAAAATAAATGAAATTTTGTTTTGAAGCATGGTGTAGCATGGGCAACAGTCTTAACATAACAACAGTACACTACATTGCTACATTTTGCGACAGTACGTGTAAAAAGCCAATGTGAGTACAAAGGTTGAGATAGCTTCTTTCTCAGCAGATCAGAAATTCTCCGGACAGTCTTTGCAAGAGCACAATGAAGATCATCTTCCACAACAAGTCTACTTCTGTATTTACACTTGATAACCAACCAGCTGGAAAACCCTGTTTCACAAAGATATGTTGTTGGAAATGGAAGAAGGCGCAACACAGTCTCAGACAGAACAGGATATGACTGCAAACACTTGACCCAGAATTTTGTAACTGGCATTGTAGAGAAATCAGTTCTCGCTGCATTGCTGTTAATAAGTTCAATGAACTCCTCTTGTGCTGTCTCCGGAACATCTTCAACTTTGACTGTGAACGGGCTTCTGCCAAGTGCAAATGTGGTGTCAGGTAGATTTGGAAAGTACCATGAAATTTTGTCTGCAAGCACGTGCAAGTGTTCTTTCAGAGAAATTATCATCGCAATCCTCTTGTCTGGTTCAATGTCATGTTCCTCAAAGAAAGTAGATAAGATAGGCAACATGTAAAATTTATTTTCATCCAATTTTTTTTTTGTTTGCCAAAGCTGAGATTTCATTTGGAATGATCGGATCTTTTCAGACAAATTGAGGCATGTTGCATTTGGTCTTGCTGTGATAAATTTAGCTCATTCAAGATGGCAAAGATGTCAACCAAGTAAGCTCTTTTCTGCAGTTCACTTTTATCGCTGAAAAATGCTTCAAACTGTCGTCTTGGTTTCTGCTTAAAAATGTTTGAGTTCATCAAGAAGCTCAAAAATCCATTTTAAAACTTCTCTTCTCGACAACCATCTCACTTCAGTGTGAAAAAGCAGAGCATTATTAGGCACATCCAACTCGTTGCACAGTTGTGAAAACAGTCGACTGTTTAAAGTACTCACCTTTACAAAATTGACACAACTTATGACACTTTTCATTACTTCTTGTAACTCTTGTGGCAGCACCTTCATTGCTAATATTTGCCGATGAATCATACTGTGAGTTTTGATGACTTTTGGTACCTCATTCAGTATGAAACGTTGAAACCCAGATCAACATCCTAGTATAGCTGGAGCATCATCTATGCAAACACCACAAACCTTTTCCCAAGAGATCTTATGCTTTTTCAGAAATGAACCAACTGTGTTACATACATCACATGCAGTAGTTGTCATTTCAAGAGATTTGCAAAAAAGAAACTCATCTTTAAAGCCGCCATCATTAATATATGTCACGTAAACCATTAACTGTGAACCGTTTGCAACATCTGTAGATTCATCAAGCTGGATGCCAAATCTTGGAAGTGGAGCAGATATAATTTCCTGGATTACCTGATCAAGAATATCAGCATATCATCTATTCATCTTCAAACAGTGTCATTAGATAAGGAAATTGCACTCAATTTTGTAACAAATTCATCTCCAATCATAATTCAGACGTCTTTGGCCTCTGGCAACAGTAAATCCTCAGCAATGGTGTGAGGTTTCATAGCTCTGGCGATTCTGAGTGCCACCAAATATGAAGCTTCAACAGCTGCTACATTTTGTTTGTGGTACTTGCCACCAGTGTCAAGTCTGGCTTCCATGAGTCCATCAGCTTTGCTTCTAAAATAGTTGGTATCCTTACTGGCAAAGCTTGGGTGCTTACTATCAAAATGGCATTTTAGTTTGTTCAGCTTCATAGATTCGGCTGATAGAACTTCACAAAAAATAACACATTGCAGTTTCTCAATTCCTGCTGTAATTATTGAGGTAAAACCATACCGTAAATAATCCTCACTATATTTTCTTTTCTAAACGTTCTTCTCTACATGATCCATTGACATGGGATGGCTTGCTAGTGAAAATAATATATAGCAATAGCTTTACTAATATGAAAGATGACACATGGCATGGTTCAGTCAATACAGTCCATTAAAGTTTCTTATGATTTACTATTCTCTGTGTTGTTGTTTTACCTGTTACTATCACAAAGGGGCAGTCTTCACATCAACTACAGCTGAATATAAATACCAATCAGGATCCAGATTAAGTTCCCATGGTGTGTGTGTGTGTGTGTATTGTAGTAGTTGATGATTTTACAGTACATGATTTTATATTTACCCAATAATTATAACTCATGAAGTATAATTACCTCCAATACTGCTGCTTCCAACATAGCAGCTGCTTTCTACACAGTAGCTGCTCTCTACACATGTGTGACTGGTCCACATAAATACATTATGACATCAACCCTGTCACATACACCTGTATTTGTACAGGGTGGATGTGATGGTGTTGGCGTGATGATGTCATCACTCCAGGTACTTGTATCTGGGTGTATCGGCATGGGGAACCGCCTGGAGACAGCTAGAGGAGCAGTGCCTTGGTTCGTAAGACCATCAGAAATATGTGTTTTCAGATGGTCTTAGGGGACCCTTGTGAAAGGGTTATTCGACCCCCAAAGGGGTCGCGACCCACAGGTTGAGAACTGCTGATCTAAATGCACTTGGAACCTTCTACGGCCAGGACCACCCAGACCTCCTGTGGGCCCAGTTCCCTGGAGCCTGGCAGCCCTCCGTTCATTCCATCATTACCCTCCTTGTTTGTGATTTGTTTTTCACTGTTCACTCTTTGCTTAGTCAAATTAGCTTAGCAAGTGTTTCTTGGGTGTTTGCTGTGTGTCAGGATCACACACAGTATTCAGGATCACACAGGGCAGTATTCTTAGAAGAGACTGAGCCCATCCTCACTGCAAGGGGTGCGGTGCTTCTCATAAATATATGTGCTGACATTTTAACCAGACTCCTTGAAGGCACAGCTCGAGGACTCTGCGGGCTGTTAACTGTGGGCGTCTAACATTGGGCTGTTAACCATAACGTCAGCAGAACAAACCCAGCTGCCCCGATTCAGGAGTAAGAGGCTTTTCTGTTTCCATAGTGATCGACAACTGTAGAAACCCTACATAGTGTCGTTATGGGTTGAAATTGAGTGGATTTGGGTTGTTGTTGGCTGGTGTTGCCATTGTTAGGTACCACTGAGTCGGTTCCAACTCCGAGCAATCTGATGCACAACTCACGGAGCCCATTGTTGGAGCCACTGTGCCTGGCCATCTCCTTGATGATTGTCCTCTTTTTCATTAACCTTCTACTTTGCCAATCATGAAGCCCTTTTCCAGGGCCTGGTCTCTCCAGAAAACATGTCCAAAGTACATGAGACAAAGTCTCGCTGTTTTCACTTCTAAGGAGCATTGTGGCTGTACGTTTTCTAAAACAGATTTGTTTGTCCTAGCTGTCCCTAGTACTTCCCAGTCCTCGTTGCTCTGCCTTTTCATGTACATGAGGCAACTGAACATACCATGGCACATCTTCGTCTTCAAAGTGATACCCCTGCTCTAGAACCATGTGCAGCAGATGTGCCCAAACACAATACATCATTTGATTTCTTGGCTTCTGTTTCCACGAGCATTGACTGTGGATGCAAGCAAAATGAAATCCTTGACATTCTTGACACATCGCTTCAATCTCTGCCTCCATCTTCACATGAGTGATTTCTCCCTTTCAATGGGGTCAGTCAAGAGTAGGGTTATTTCTGAGTTATATAAAGAACACTGGAGACATAGACTCACAGGAGGAAGTTATACACCAGGTGAAGGCCTGTCCTGAAACAAAGGCATGCTGGAGCCCAGTGGTGCTGTCGGTTAAGTATTGGGCTGCTAACCACAAGGTTGATGTTCAAACCACTCAAAGGGAGAACGATGAGGCTGCCAACTCCTGTAAAGATTCATAGTCTCAGAAGCCCTGCATTGGGTTGCTGTGAGTCTGAATTGACTCGATGGCAGTGAGCGTGGGGTTTTGTTTATTTGTTTACTAGAAGCTGAAATAGACCAGGAAGAACCTTCTTCTTAGACTCTAGAGCCCAAGCTCTAAAGTTGGACTTTAGTCTCCTGAATTGTGAGGAAATTATAAACTCTGGTGGCATAGCCGGTTACATGTTGGGCTGCTAACTGCAAGGTTAGCAGATTGAAATCACCAGTCACTCGGTGGAGCAAAGATGAAGCATTTTACTCCCACAAAGAGTTATAGTATTGGTAGAAATGTAGCTAAAGCAAATGGAAGAAATGAGAAAGGAAAAGAGTTGAACCGGACATTTCAAGGGGCAACTTGAGAAGAGAAATGAAAGTATTATAGTGAAATATGCGGCCCAGGGGGAAACACATCAAAGTTAAAATAATGAGAACAAAGAGAACTTCATTCTGTATAGGTGGTAGAGAAAGGAGAGATGAAAATGGGCTGAGACCCTATCAAAGCTTTGTCTGACATAACCCAAAAAAAATACAGACAGTGCCATATATATATGGCAGAAATATATATATATATATATATATTTAAAAAGAGTTATGGTCTCAGAAATTCACAAGGACAGTTCTACCCTGACCTATTTGCTATGCGTTTGATTGGGCTTGATGGTACTGAGTTTGGTGTTGGGGTTCATTACAGACACCCACATGTGGTATTTCTGTTATGACAGCACTAGGAAGCAGCCTCTCCTTTCTTATGTGTCCTGTCACAGACACCCCCTGTCCCCCTCTGAGGGCATCTCCATTCTTACTCTGCTTTCTACATCTCTCTCTGGCCCCACACCTCTCCATTTGCACTTCATGGAAAACATTTTTATGTTCTTTGAATAGAGAATTGCTGGTGTGTGTGTGTATTAGAGACTTGAAAACAATCCTCTACTATGTTGTCCTCATTAGTTTGTGGCTGAACTTGGACATCTGGTCTACAATCTCCTGAAACTTTCCTGACCCCTCAGTTAAGCAATGTTCTCCTCCTCTCTCCCTGTGTTTTAATCTATTACCACAAGTTGTTATTTAAAAGTATATCTTTAGCTTCATTAAAAGCGTTTGTGTGCACACATCTCTATATACTACCCATAGTGTCAAGTTGTATCTGAATCCACCTTTGACCCTTCCTTTGGGAAAGGAGGATTTTCCACTGGGAGGGAAGAAAGGCCTCTAAGAAAGCCCGTGCACTGGAACCAGTCGTCAATCATGAAGACCACCATCATTGTACTTTATTTGGATCAGAGGTTGTGGTATCATAAAAAAGGGGATATTTAATAAGGACTCACTCTAGCTGGGGGCAGAGAGCCTTCCCATACTCAGGCTCAGTTTTATACCCATCCTTTCCATTTGAGAAAGAACTCGGTTTGAAATGACACTGGACTTCTGGATTTCAGAACTGTTAGACAATACATTTTCATTCGCTACCCACCTTGCAGTACTTTGTCATGCAAAGCACGTGAGAGAGGGCGGAGAGTGAAGTTCTCCTGACACTCACTGAACCCTGACTGTGAATGGAAAGGAGCCACACATGGGGCATGTGTTTGTCCAGAGCCAATAGCTGCTGCCCCCCAGAGCAAACTCTTGGATTCCGCACAGGATTGGGGTCACCAGCCGCCGCCCGCCCCAGAACAAGCTATTAGAATCCGCACAGGATTGGGGTCACCACAGCAGTGCGGGGGTCGGAGACCTTCTAAATGTACGCGGAATCTCTCCCTCCCGTTCTGTCTTCTGGAAGCCTGGACCGTTCTTTGTACCTATGGTTCTGTCTCCCTCGGGGTCCACTTCCTTAGCCATCTTGAGGGCCTCCGTGGTGGCGATGTCCACATTACAGGGCACCACCACCAAGTTGATCGTCTGCTGTCTCTGGATGTACTTTTTGATGAGTGCCTTGACCTGAGGCAAGAGAACCACACACAGGAAGATTACACGTTGGTTCCCCGGGAACCAGCTAGGCATATGCGATGGTTCCAAATGACCATTGTCCCAGAGGACGACCCACATTTTTCACACCTCGGTGCTGTTGCTCAGCTTGTGCCCTTTCTCTGGGTCTTCCACACCCACTTGCCCTGCTCCTCTCTCTGCTGACCTCCAGAGCCCATCTCTGGCCGAATGTGACCTCTCCTCCCTCCCCAGATCTTCCTGTATGCTTCACGGGGTCTTTTGTCTCAGCGTATCTACCCAGTGTAGCCATTTCCTATAGGCGGGAGCAGACACCATTTGTCCTTTGGGGTCTGGCTTATTTCACTCAGCACAATGTGTTCAAGTGTTACCCAACTTGTAGCAGTGGTGTCACTCCAGGAGCTTGGGGTGGGGATGGGAGGGTGTGGGTGGTAGTAGGGGGGTGGGTGAGTAGTCTCAGGGTGGAGAAAGCAATCCAACACGGGCAAGGAGATGCCAAGAAAAGATGCCTCGAGCAAGATGCTCCCAGAGGAAACTGCTGCTTTGGTTGGGAATCCGGGAATAGGTTGGGACTCTTGCTTAAGGCCTAGGATCTGGGTCCTAGGAAATTATCTCGAAAGTAACAGCGAGGGGCAGCGCCTCTCAGCTATATTTCCATGGGACGGGGCAGTGGGTGTGCTCAGGAGCTAAGGGGAGCTGGGAGACCACAGTTGAAGCCTTGGGTGCAGGGCAGAGGGGAGGAGTCTCAGCAGGGGAAGGGACTGAAGGAGGAGGAGAAGGAGGTGGTATTTGGCTTGCATTTCCAGG